AACAGACAACTTAAGAATGGGATAAAATTTCTGCAATCTACCCATTTGACAAAGGGCTAATATCCAGAATCTATAAGGAACCTAAATTTACAGAAAAAAAACATCCAACAACTCCATCAAAAAGTGGGCAAAGGATATGAACAGATGCTTCTCAAAAGGAGACATTTATGCAGCCAACAAACATAAGAAAAACAGCTCATCATCACTGGTCATTAGAGAAATGCAAATCAAAACCACATTGAGATACTTTCTCACACCAGTTAGAATGGTAATCATTAAAAAGTCAGGAGACAACAGATGCTTAAGAGGATGTGGAGAAATAGAAACGCTTTTACACTGTTGGCAGAAGTGTAATTTAGTTCAACCATTGTGGAATACAATGTGGCGATTCCTCAAGGATCTAAAAACAGAAATACCATTTGACTCAGCAATCCCATAGCTGGGTATATACCCAAAGAATTATAAATCATTCTAGGATAAAGACACATGCACACGTATGTTTACTGCAGCACTGTTAACCACAGCAAAGACTTGGAACCAACCCAAATGCCCATCAGTGATAGGCTAGATAAAGAAAACATGGCACATATACACCATGGAATACTATGCAGCCATAAAAAAGGATGAGTTCATGTCCTTTGCAGGTACATGAATGAAGCCAGAAACCATCATTCTCAACAAACTAACACAGGAACAGAAAATCAAACACTGCATGTTCTCGCTCATAAATGGATGTTGAACAATGAAAACACATGGACACAGGGAGGGAAACATCACACACTGGGGTCTGTCGGGGGGAGTAGGGGAAAGGGGAAGGATAGCATTAGGAGTAATACCTAATGCAGATGAGGGGTTGACGAATTCAGCAAACCCCCATGGCACTTGCATACCTACGTAACAAACCTGCATGTTCTGTACATGTACCCAAGAACTTAAAGTACAATTAAAAAAAAGGAAAGAAATTTTCATCGGCTAGAGAAAAAATGTTTGAGCATCAAGTATAAGAAACAGAAAAAGTCATAAATCCTTGCTCTTGCCCAAATCAAATCATTTGGAATACTCTTCCTCTTAGCTCCATAGATCCAAAAATCTGACTTAGCTCCAATGCCAGCACCCTGACTAAAAGTATTTTTTTTCATTTTCACAACTGGGATTCATAAATGCAAGCATTTACTTAACCAACATTTCTTACATTTCAACTATGTGTCAAACACTATTACAGGTACTGGGGATACAGTTGTGTACAAAATAGGCAAAATTTAATGTGCTCTTGGAAGTTAGTCTAGTGAAGGAAGGCAGGTAACAAACAGATACTAACACAACATTTCAGGTGATACATGAATGCTATTTTTTTTTAAAGCAAGGTAAAGGTATACAGAGTGAAAGGGTGAGCAGAGGAATCAGGGAAGGCTTCTCTCAGAAAATAAATGCCTGAGCAGAAATCTGAAAGACGTAAAGAAATAAGCTATGCAGGTATCTGGGAAAGGATATCTAGGCAGAGGGAACAATGTGTCTGGGCGGGGTGGCTCGTGACTGTAATCACAGCACTTTGGGAGGCCAAGGCGGGCAGATCGCCGGCGGGCAGGAGTTTGAGACCAGCCTGGCAACATGGTGAAACCCCATATCTACTAAAAATACAACCTTAGTCGGGGGTAGTGGCATACGCCTGTAATCCCGGCTTCTCAGGAGGCTGAGGCAGGAGAAATGCCTGAACCCAGGAGGCGGAGGCTGCAGTGAGTCAAAACTGGGCCACTGCATTCCAGCCTGAGCAACAGAGTGAGACAAAAAAAAAAAAAAAAAAAAAGGCATAGGGCAAAAATGTGCTCAGCAGGCAAGATAATAGAACAGCATAGTCCTGGGTAGACTGATTGACAGAAATAAATAAATAAATAAATAAATAAATTAGTAAATAAATAAATAAAGGAAATAAAGTCAGAAAGGTAACTGGGACCATATTATTTAGGTCCTTGTGGGACACACAGATATTTCATTTGGAGTAGATAACTGTAATTGATCTATGGAAAAAACATTACATGGAGGCAACAGCAGAAGAAAAAAAGATCACAGTGAGGCAGTTTTTGGAATAAAACAGGACAGAGTACAGAAGTTTAAAATCAGAGTAGAGGGAGAGATGATGACAGGTGCCAGAGTTGACATATTTTTTTCTAATATATTTTTAAATTATAAATTTAAAAATGTGTTTGTGTGTGTGTGTGTGTGTGTGTGTGTGTGTGTGTGTACTTTTTAAATTGTTTTGGTTTAACAAAGAGGAGTCACAGATAAAGCAAAGGCTTCAAACAAGAGCAACTAAAATAACAGAGATGCTGTTAGTTGAGATAGAGAAAACTGGGAAGGAACAGGTTGGTTTGGGTGAAGTAGACAGGAAGCAAGACATCTCCAAATGGACTTACTCATTGGAGACATCTACTAGACACCAGAAGAATTTGCTGAATAGAAATTTGTATATGTGAGTCTAGAATACAGGGAAGGAGTTAAATTTGGGAGGCATTAGCATAAAGATGACTTTTAGATACAGGAGACAAAATGCAATCATCTAAGTCATGAGAAGAGGTTCAGGAACGGGCCCTGAGGCACTTCCAGTTTTTGGTGAGAAGGGCATTTGAGAGTTTAGAAAGCTGAGGATAGGCAAGGATACTAAGAAAGGGAGAAGAAAGAGATATCAGTATCCAGTGAAACAAGCTAAGAATGTGTTTCAAGAAGAAAGTTCTCTACATGAAAATTAGCCTGGACTCCTCAAGACAAGAAAAATAAAAGGATTATTCTAGATCAAGAGACTAAAGGAACATAACAACTAAAGAATACATAAACCTAGGTTGCATCCTGGTTCAAAAAAATAACAACCGTTAAGAATGAACATTAGAACATCTAATTAAAGTACTGTTTATTTTCTTATGTGTGCCAGTGGCATTCTGGTTACACAGAGAGTATCTTTATTTTTAGGAGATGTACGCTGAAGTATTTTGGGGGAATTATAATGGCATTTGCAACTTATTTTCAAATGGTTGAATAAAAAATACAGGATAAAATGTTAACTGTATTTAGGTGGAGAGTATAAAGAAATGCACTGTACTATTCTTTCACCTTTCCTGATCATTTGAAACCTTTTATAATAATAGTAAGAAAAAGGCAAAGGACTGGCCGGGCGCGGTGGCTCAAGCCTGTAATCCCAGCACTTTGGGAGGCCGAGGCGGGTGGATCACAAGGTCAAGAGATCGAGACCATCCTGGTCAACATGGTGAAACCCTGTCTCTACTAAAAATACAAAAAATTAGCTGGGCATGGTGGCGCGTGCCTGCAATCCCAGCTACTCAGGAGGCTGAGGCAGGAGAATTGCCTGAACCCAGGAGGCGGAGGTTGCGGTGAGCCGAGATCGCGCCATTGCACTCCAGACTGGGTAACAAGAGCAAAAACTCCGTCTCAAAAAAAAAAAAGAAAAAGAAAGAAAAAAAAGAAAAGGGCAAAGGACAAATAACTCAGTGAACGAACTGGTAAAAGACATGCAGAGCCATTTCACAGAAGAGGAAGCTCTAAAGGCCAATAAATGAAAAGATACTCAGCCAGCCATATTTGTCATCGGGAAAATGCAGATTGAAATCACAAAGCAAGCATTTTACATCTACCAGAATAGTCAAAATTAAAAATAATGAACATATCAAGTGATTAATTAAAGATGAGGAGTCATGGAAACTCTTGCATGCTACTGGCATGATAAAGACTCAATAGTTTCCATGCACCTTAAAACCCAGTCATTCCTGTCCTTTAGGCGTATCTTGGAAAAATTCTTCCATGTGTACTAGGAAAATGGCACAAGAATATTGATAGCAACATTAATGTAATATAAGACACATTGGCAAAAAAATTGGAAACAAACCAATGCTGAGTGTATGGGTATTCATTTCATCATTATCATCATTAATAGGGTTAATTTTCTTTAAAGTATACATATATTTGGGCCAGGCGCAGTGGCTCACACCTGTAATCCCAGCACTTTGGGAGCCCGAGGCGGGCGGAACACGAGGTCAAGAGATCGAGACCATCCTGGCCAACATGATGAAACCCCGTCTCTACTAAGATACAAAAATTAGTTGGGTGTGGTGGCGCACACCCGTAGTCCCAGCTACTCGGGAAGGCTGAGGCAGAATTGCTTGAACCTGGGAGGTGGAGGTTGCAGTAAGACGAGATTGTGTCACTGCACATCAGCCTGGTGCCTGGCGACAGAGCAAGACTCTCAAAAATTATATATATATATATATATATATATACACACACACACACACACACACACACACATATTAAATATACACACCTTTGTGTGTTTAATATATTGAACAGTGAAAGTTAAATAAAAATGTGATCAAGTATAGCAAATGTTGTTGACAAGTCAAGCAGTATGAGGACTAAAAACTGGCATCTGGATCTGGCCATGAAGTGCTGAGGGCAATGAAATCCACAAAAACTGTCAGCAGAAATCTTCTAGAATGAAAGTAACTTTTTAACTTTATTTTGGTAAAAGGATACAGAAAAGCAAATCTATTAATCTTATTAGTGAAAATAAGCTTCTCATACCTAGCTAGCACCATATATTTTTCTAGTGGAAATGAATTTTTAGAAGAGAGGGCAAAATTATTTCCCTTAAAAATTCTTTATATGCAGTTCATCATGTAAAAGACATGTATAAGAGTGAAAGTTTAAGTCATGGTGCAAATCAGGTTATTTCTGAGCATGAAAAGAGGGGCTACTAATAATTTTGCTGGGCAGTGGCATAAAATAGGCTGGTTCCGGGTAAACTGATTCATATGGTTTTCCCATGAATAAGCCAAACTCAGTTGAAGGCACCAGTATGTTTTCAGCAAGAATGGAACACAGGATCCTCAGGAAAAATAAAAAGGGTCCTTAAACTCAGCCCTGTCAAACTTCAACAAGATTCTATTCCAGCACAAAGACTACAATGGTTAATGACAGGTTTAAATAATACTTACTCAGTTGATGGTACACAGGTTTATGTAATCCCTGAAGTCTTATTGATGCCATATCGGCAAGTTTGCCAGGTGGCTGCATTCTCCCATCTAAGAGATACCAAACTCTAGCAAAAGTGGCCCATTGCTTGGAAAAAAAAAAAAAAAAAGAAAAAAAAAGTCATTAAAATGGAAATACAGTAATTAAATTTATTATTTTATACCATCGCATGTATTCTACAATTAATGTCAACAATTTCTTTGAAAAATAACTCTATTGCTGAAGAATTTTTGTTTTCATTTCTATTTCTGGAAAAGGGTTTTTTTTTTTTTTTTTTCTTATCATTCTGGAAAGACAAACACACTAATTATTCCTGCCTGGTTTTCTACATGCTTTGTTAGAAACACCCCAAATATGTATTTCCCTTTAGATTATGACTTTTTTTTTTTTTAAATAACACATGATAGAATCTGGAGGGGTAATGAGAAGCTTGAAAGAAAGTAGAAGCTGTTTAAGAAGGTCTTCTTCAAATGTCTTCAAAAACATTTAGAGATTAGTAGGTACATTATATTGAAAGCCTAGTGGCCAATTGGAATCCAAAGACCCATTCAGGAGTTACAATTCCTGGGGAGAGTTAAATAGAACAACATAGTTTGGAAAGTACAGATGGATGATGTGGAATAAATTTCAACTTTAAAACGTTACCTGAAATAGGTATCTTTAGACCACTGCTTCTACAGTATTCATCAATGTATTCAATTTCTTAAAAAATTCTAGTCCAGATCTCCACCAGTTACTTTATGCATATACACAGAAGGCTAAACAATGCTATAAAAATGCAACGGGCTAGCTGGTTTTATTTTAAATGTACTTATCACAACCTCAAACTAGTCTACACATAAGGAAAAGGCCAGTTTCTGTCCCCATCCACTGCAGACTAATACTTTGACAGAAAAAAACAAAAACAAAAACAAAAACAACAACAACAAAACTTTGATTAAAAAAATGCAAATGCTCGACTATGTCAAATTGCTAAAAAAAAAAAGTTTTTAAAGTTTTATTTTGCTTCCTGTATTTATCTCATCACAGGCAACAAACAGTCCAAGGAAGGAACCACACTTGGAGCGGCACCGAGCTAAGAGTCATCTTAACCGATATAACTCAAACTAACTCCTATTCTTCCACCTCAAACCTGCTTCAATCTCAGCCTTCCCTATCTCAGCTGATGACACAGCCTCCAGCTGGTCAAATCAAAAAACCTGGAGTAATCTTTGCTGCTGCTTTTGCTGTTGGTCTATATTTAATCTTCAGAAAATCCTATTGGCTCCACCTTCAAACAAAACCTGACCACGTTTCAACACACTCCACAGTTCTACTAGCGTGACCTCTGCACCATCACGTCTCACCTGGATTACTGTTATACCCGCCAAACATGCTTCTGTCCTCCACCAACCCCTATTTCTGAACAGTCTATTCTCGACCCAGCAGCCAGAGTGCTCCTTTTGACGCCGAGTCAGATCACGTTATTCCTTGGATCAAAACCCTCCAATAGGTCTCCATTTTACTCAGTAGAAAAACAAATTCTTACAACGGCCTACAATGCACTAAGTGATTAACCTTCTTAACTCTCCTACCTTCTCTCCTAATCCCCTTCCCCGTCCCCGAAAAAAAAAAAAAAAAAAAGAAGACACGAAAAGGGCAGTTTGAAAAGAAGCGGGGATGAGTAACAAACGATATGAAGTGCTTGCCAGACTGACGACCCTTCTGGTGCTTTCCCCAGGCACCTCTTAGCCGAGGGTCTCAGCTTCCCTGCCGCCCCAGCTTCACTAATCTGCCAGACCCAACGCTCTCGTTCTGCCAGTACAATGAACCCCATGAAGCCCTAAGAGTCCGAGCTCACCTGGGGCGCCCTGGAGAAACTCGACATATTCCCCCACTAGCAGCACCGTCCGTCCTTCTCTCCCGGTAGCCAAGCCGGGTCACACAGCCTTACTGGCCCGGCGGGAAACGCTAACACCCAAGCATCACAGTTCCTAGCCCCTCCAGCACTCGTCGGCTTCTCCCCTTTGCTTTAGTTTCCTCCAGTCTTCCCCACCGCAGCAATTTCGTCATGAAAGGAGCAGATAATGCAGTTACTTAGGAACTAACTCCCGAAAATAACCCGCTTGCTGGAAAACTGCGGAAAACCGACGGAGGACACAATTTCCAGGCGACCTAAGCGAAGGGAACCGGAAGTGCGTCATAGCGCGCCTAGGTTTGGATGTGGTAGTCGAGACCGAAAATTGGGGGTGGTCTCTTAGGAGATGGACCGGTACCTGCTGCTGGTGATCTGGGGGGAAGGAAAATTCCCGTCGGCGGCCAGTAGGGAGGCAGAACATGGACCAGAGGTGTCATCGGGCGAGGGTACTGGGAAGCAGCCTGGTAAGCGCTGGGATGAGAAAGGGCGGGAACGGTTTGGGAGGGGAAGAAGTTTGAGTTTGTGATTAAGTTCTGCTAGGAAGGGATCAATATCTACTTGTCTCAAGAAGCTGGGACTCTATCTGGGATAGAGTTAATGAGGGCTGCAGATATAGCATCTTCATGGAAAAACATGGACAAATTTGTGGATGCAAGGTTCCAGCCCTCAGAAATTCTTGGCATAGGAAATATTTAACTTAACAAGTTTTCTGTGCCTTAGTAATGGAATTTCCTACGTTTTGGAAATGTATGCGTTTATTATTTCTGTTCCTGTGTTTCACATGCAGATGATACAGAAAGGAACAAAATGAACAAAAGTCATGCTGTCCTAGAATTTACATCTAATGGGAGGAGACATCCCACATACTTTAGTTTTGAAAACAAATGATGAATTTTAAGTGATCTTAATTGTTATCGATTGCATTGCTTTTTGGTGCACCTATTTAGATTCAGTATTGCATTTGATGTATTCATTTGTTTCGATCAAATAGGCATTTTGAGGAGTAAATGTATGTGTTTGTGTATAAGGTGTTGTGACAGTTTCCCTTCTCTTCAAAGTTATTTTGTGGGGAATTCTGCATTTGTGCTAACTGGCTAGAATGTACAGATCGGGAGCCTTTTCTGTTTTTTTCCACTTGGCCTTAGATTTACTGTATCAAAACTTGAACAGATCTTGAGCAGTGTGTAGTACTTTTATGTACAACCTACTGGTCTTGAGAGTTTCTGATGAAGAAATTGGAGTAGGTTAGATTACGTAAATCTAGCGCCCTTTGAGTTAGTTTGTCTTTTCTTTTTCAGACTTCACAGCAGCAAATATTTATCACCTTTTGAAAAGAAGCATTAGTGCTTCAATTAACCCAGAAGATAGTACTTTCCCTGGTAAGTATAGTAAACCCCTCTTTTCTTTGACAATTCCAGGTTCTCAGCTTGAGTTTTGCTCCTCTTATGAAATTTTCTTGCCTGTCTTAGTTCTGTATAACTAAGGGGAATGTGGCTTTATGAGGATGATTTTTTTTCTTGAGTAAAAAATGTAAATAATGCTCCCACACGATTTCCTTACCGTTTATTTATTTCTTTATTTCTGTTCTTAGCTGTTACTGATTCTCTTAAAAGTACGTAATAATTACTAAACACAATGAGCTTTTCTCAATTCTTTTTTTTTTTTTTTTTTTTTTTTTTTTTTTTTTTTTTTGAGACGGAGTTTCGCTCTTGTTACCCAGGCTGGAGTGCAATGGCGCGATCTCGGCTCACCGCAACCTCCGCCTCCTGGGCTCAGGCAATTCTCCTGCCTCAGCCTCCTAAGTAGCTGGGATTACAGGCACGCGCCACCACGCCCAGCTAGTTTTTTTTGTATTTTTAGTAGAGACGGGGTTTCACTATGTTGACCAGCATGGTCTCGATTTCTCGACCTCGTGATCCACCCGCCTCTGCCTCCCAAAGTGCTGGGATTACAGGCTTGAGCCACCGCGCCCGGCTAGCTTTTCTCAATTCTTACCTGCTTTTACTTTTTGAAGTATTTCGCGTTTTTGACCAACCCATACTTTGTAAAAATCTTTCGTCCTTCAGCTTCTATTGGCATTATGCAAATGCATTTAACTACTTTGATAGTTTTCTTTTATTCCCTTTTCTTGTCCTTGATCAGAGAATGTCCTTTAAAGGTTCTGAAAATAGAGATGCCAAAACAAACCAATACCTAAAAACTGAAGGAAGTTTCTGTCAATGCAAGGAAGGGTCTGCTCCTTTTGATAACTTTGTAGTTCCCCTGACTATACAATCTGCACCTTTCTCTTCTGTCATTAAAGAACCTCTTGTCACTTCGTGTCAACTACCACCATCGGGGAATGATTTCTAATAAGTATATGCTGCTCTAGCCTGTTTTCGAAGGCCCAGTAGTACTCATTAATTTTCAAGTTGCTGTAATTTTAGTCCATACTACTATTATTGCAGGAAAGATTTTCTTTCATTTGCACCTCAACTGTATCTGTAAAAGAGCTCTTGGGAGAATTGTAGGGGTTCTCATGATAAATTTTCCTTTCCACTTGTGTGTTTAGGAGTTTCTTATACAGACAGTCCTTGTTTTGCATGATAGTGTGGTACTTTATAATTGATTGTGCAAAGCAATCCTAATATTATAATAATCAATGAGAAAAAATTGTTCCATGACCTTTAATATCTTTTATCAAAACATTAAAAACTCTCTTGTTATAAATTTTTATGGAAATAAACAAATTGTAAAAATTTACTTTGTATACTGTAATTTAAAACCTTAGAAACATTGAGAATTAAAGTGTTTTCTTTGTATAAACCCTATCAAGAGTAGTTAGAACATTGCCTTCCACCTTCCCATCATCATGTAACTTACGATACAGAGTGAATATTTTTTCTTTTATTGGCAAATTATTATATTCCAGTTGTATCAACTTCCAGTGTTTTATTCTTTCATTTTTTTTTTTTCTTTTTTTGAGACAGGGTTTCATTTTGTTGCTCAGGCTGTAGTCCAGTGGCCCAGTCATGGCTCACTGCAGCCTCAACCTCCCCAGTTCAAGCACTCCTTCTTCCTTAGCCTCCTGAGTAGCTGGGACTACAGGCATGAGCCAGCACATCTGGCTTAGAGACATGGTTTCATTGTGTGGCCCAGGCTGGTCTTGAATGCCTGGGCTCACGTAATCCACCTGTTTTGGCCTCCCAAAGTGCTGAGATTGCAGGCGTGAGCCACTGTACCTGACCTGGACTTTCAATGTTGTAATATATCTCTGAGTTCCATTAATATTAAGGTTTTTGCTAGCATCATTTTCTCTGGGACAGCTTCATGTTTTTCATCAAAATGTGTTTGTCACACCAGCTATTTCTAGAACTCTGTTTACATTAGCTTTGAAGATTGCTTTCAGTGTTGGCACTTTTTGTTTCTTTGGTGTTTATCTCTTTTTTAAAAATTCCCTCATCCATTTTTCCATTTTTATAAATGGATTTAGACTGGAATTTATAAAGGGTTTAGACTGGAAGACCAGGAGGCAACACAATCACATCTTTTGCTACCTGTGTGAACTGAATGGCACTTGTGCAGTGACCAATCAGTGACACCCTTTGAAAGTAGTAACATTATTGACTACTGATCATGACACACATCTTTATATGTGTAGTGATTTTGTAGACTGAGAAGCTTGCAGTGAAGTCTTAAACTATACAATTATAGTTCATTAATACACCATGGTAACTGAAATTTGAACCAGGTTCTTGGGGAACTGGTGTTATTTAAGCTATAGTAACTGGAATTTGCACATATCAGAGCCATGCAAACGGAAACTGCCTGCACTGAATTTCCTGCCATGCTAGGATTATTGATTTCAGTAATATGGCAAGTTTGAGGGACGGAAAGTACAATATTATTATAATGGGATAAAGATGGAGAGGTAGGCATAGCTCTTTAGAGGATTTTGTAGTGTCAAGGTGTTTGGATTTTTTCCTAATGGTAATCAGCAGCCACTAAAAACTTTAAGTAAGGAAGAGACGTGATCACATCTGTGCTTTTGAAGTATAGTAATGGATTAGAGAAAAGTATAGCTGTTTCTGAATAGGGAGATGCTGTAGAAGACCAAATGAGGAATAGAAGAGGCAGCCAGGGTGGAGGAAAATGGATAGATCTGAAGGAAATTATGGGGGTAGAATTCACCTACCTTAGCACTGAATTGGTGTGATGTAGAAGAAGGGAAGGATGAGGAAGGAATCAAGGATGACATTAGGTTTCCGGCTTGGGTAACGGCATGATGGTGGCATTTAGTGAGAAAGGAGAAGCAGATTTGGAGGGAATGTGACATATTCAGCTTGGAACATGTTAATAGTTGCCTGTCAGATGTCAAAGTAAAAATGTTTTATAAAAGTTGGATACATATGTCTGGAACTCAAAATGTAGGAGAGGGCTCGAGATATCAGGTTGGTGCAAAAACAACAATTATTTTTCCACCAGCGAATACAAATTATAGAACCAATGTATAGATGTCAGGTGAAGCCATGAGAAAGGATGGGATTGCTTATGGATAGTAGGAAGAACAGAAAGTCTCAAACTGAATTCCAGTATTCAGAAGAACTGAACACATCAGTGTTTAAAAGAATAAGAAGGAGGAGCCAGAAAGATGGGTGCCACAGAAGCCAAGTATTTTAAAGAGAAAGTAGTCAAATACGTCATCTTTGATTTTTCTCTTATGCTGAGAGATCAAATAACAACAGCACTAAAAACTGCTAGATTTAATAACAAGTTACTTATTGGTGACTTTGGTGAGTGTTCTTTCAGTGGCATATTAGAGACAAAAAGACTGAAATGCATTCGAAAGGAAGTGGAAAAGTTGATGAGGAAATGGAGACAGGTGTGGACAGCACCTTCCAAAGTTTATATTTGAGGACGAGCTAAGAAAGAGAAGTGGAGATGAATTTAAAGGGACTTCTTTTTTAAAAAAGAAATACTTTGAGAAACACTTGTGTGTATTTAAATGGCAATGGCAAAGAGCAGACAGAAGGGAGCAGATTGAAATTCAGGAAAGATAATGTGATCAGTGGGGTTAGATGAGAGAATCAGTGGTTTCAGGGGAGGTTTGGGGGATAACATTGAATTGAAAGGACAGTGCCTCTTACATGTTGAAGGGAAGGAAAGAGGAAAGACTTAGTGGGAATACAAGTTGAGTTGTATGTTTCCTGAGAGAATGTTGTAGGAATCATTACCTAATAGCTTCTATTTTGTTAAGGCGATAGGAGTCCTTTGCTGAGATTGTTGGAACAAAGCATCTTACCTA